AAGATTATCTATTTTACACGTAATAATAGTTAGAAGTGATTATTAAATCGTGATTGGCGGAATTCATAGCAATTTAACCTTATAATTATTGTTATTACCTCTTCCATGTAATAATAACAATTACCATAATTCAAATTACCAACGATTCCAACAATCATCTCTTTATCATAAAATTACTACGAAATTTCAGTTTCGCAATCGTTATTAGAAAAAAAGTTAAAACATCACTTTACACCCGTAATTTGTGTTCAAGAGACTTCGCAATTAATTTCCCTAATAAACGAATCCCCCTTTTCAAAAATTATCAATGCACGGATAGACTTGATCTTGAAGAAGGAAAATCTCAAAGAATTTCTCGACTTTGGAAAGGAAAAAAAAACACGACTCGTTGTTATCGGACGGTTGATCGATCTGCTGGTGATTCGTGGAGAATACGCGCCGTGCGCTCGCATAATCGGCGAGCGGGGCATTTGCATCTCGGGCACGAAACGACGGATCCAACGTTGATCCGAGCGCGTGCAAAGAGAAAAAGAAAAAAAAAGGGGGGGGGGGGGAGGCGGAGGAGGGCCGCCGGCTCACTCTCGTCTTACACAATCGCATCAACGGGAAATCTACGTTCTCAAATTTCAAGGCTTAATTTACGAGTGCCGCGGGAGTAAATCACTGGGAATCGCGGCGAGCATCGCGCCAACGACAAATTTATTCCTTTTCCTCGCTGGATATCGCGTAACGCCGACACACTATCCCCTGAGGAAATAACGTCCTTATACAGGGTGACAATGGAAAACTTACGTACACTCTCTCTTTTCAAGAGCCGGGAATCGTTGCCGGGATAACGTTGTAACGTTGTTGGGTTGATAGCCGTTCGAGGACACGTTCAATACGTGTATTACTCTTTTGCATACGCGCCACTGTATCGGTCAACACGATACAGTCGATAAGCGAGGTCTCTTTTATAAAAATTCAATCGGGATAAGATAAATCGATTTCACGTAGATCGAGAAACATTCGATAACGTTGACTAATCAAGAGATAGTGAAAAATAGATACGAAAGCGGTATGTGCTTGATTGCATTATCAAATGTGCCTGTCAACCGCTTTCGAAAAATTTCAAAGAGGCATAAGATAATAAAACAAAATTAATACCGTGTTATAATTAGAGCGCGGATACTCTACTGTATAAAATTTCAATATTTATTCCGCATAAAATCACTGGGAATCTAAAATTGATTGAAACAACTCCGCGAAGATATAATTCCAAATTTCGATCGTTGATCCGATCTAGTAAAGAACGACTCGATCTCATCGATATAATCGTCGTCGCCCGCCATTCTACAGATTTCGAAAAAAAAAATCTTAAAATCGCGAGGAAGAAACGCGGCACGAAGCATCGCGACTTCTTCTTCCCTCCCTCTTCTTCGTTCTAATCTGGTCGCTGCGACAGGGTGTCTTCACTCCCGGTTCGCGCGATAAAACCAGCCCCCTTATCCCGGGGGATCTCGACCGTGGGCTGAGAGATCGGTTGGCGCGATTCTCGAGGCATACCACCGCGTCCACGAGAAAGAGTGCACGCCGAAAGAGGACGAGAGCAAAAGGAGGCTCGCGTCTCGGCTACCGAAATTGCAACACGGTTGGCCACGGCCTCGAGCTGCGCCGCTTCTGTCACGCGTTTAATGATTTATGTAATAATGAATCACGTTTATCTAAGATCTTCGCGGCCATGCGTTGAACCGTGGATAACTGTAAAGTTGCCGTATCCGTATTTAGAACCCGCGCCCGGATAAATTATCCCGCGACACGGGATTTGACTTTAAATTGACACGCGCCGGATTAAAATTTCAATTAAAATTGAAACCGATAAATCAACTTGGCCGAGAAATAACATTAGGAATCAGAGATCCGTAGAAAAAAAATTGGAGACGAAGCTGTTCGAAGAAGGAAGGGGAAGAAGTCTCGCGTATGATCGATACGAGAGAGAACAGTGGCAGAGAGAGAGAGAGAGGGGTCGAAGATCGAAGGATTCTCTTCGTGAAACGAAAAAGAGAGAGGAAAGAAGAAAGAAAAAGAGGCGGAAGGGCAAGTGCAGATCCGGGGGATGACGGTGGCTGCGCCACCGATGACGTCCACCCGGTTCCACCACGCGTTGTATATCGTCCGTCGCTCGTGAAATGTAGATCGGCGGTGATTTACTTATCAAGAATCGACGCTTCGCCGGAGGTAAATGGTCGAGTCGTGACCATTAGTCGACGGACTGGCCAAGTCCGCGCTGTAGAGGACAGCGAATCGAGGCGAGCGAGGGAGTACGCTAATATCCGCGCCGTGTGAGGCCTCCGCCGCGGCCCAACACGATGTTCTCGGCCACGAATCCCCCCCGACCATATTCCCTCGCATGAACCTTTAAATTATTTTTCGATCGAGCCGCGAGGGGGGAACGACCGATCGCGATACCGTGTGCCTTACTTGCTTGATATTTTCATTTCTGATGGCGCTTCGCTTTATACGCGGGGGAAATGATTTATGGGCTGGTCGATTCGTGGTTGGATCAGCGTCCAACCAAGGTGATAACCATGATCGAAGTTGTTGGTGTTCATCTTTTTTTTTTAAGAAAGAACTTCTTTGGACTCGTTGCCTCGAATGTTTTTGGGGACGTGTTGGTGCTCGAAGGATGAACGCTTGGCGATGATGGATTGGTGAAAGGCGAACAAAGTCGATCCGAATTATTTTCCAGAACGAACAATTCTTCTTCTTTATCGTCGGGGACCGTGTTAATTCGAATTCGAATTGTATATTTCTTGGAATCTCACCATTTTTTTATTACGAATCCGTATGGCAAAGTGCAGTTCTTGGAGTTCGAACATATTTTTTTTTTACTTCTCCGTACACAAGCATCCTGCGCCGAGAAATCTGCCGTTTTCCCAAATGTATCGCGACGCGAAAGCTTGTTTGGAGAAGGCTCGCGAACAATTTTTCGTTCCGAAAGATCGGCAGCTAGGGGAAATCACGGTGAACTCTGCGTCAGAGGGAGAGGATTAGCGTCTGAAACATGCGCGAAATATGGCAAGACGGGTGATTTCCTGAGCGCGCAATTGTTTCTCGGAATGGAAATCATCGGCACGAGACGTGAAAGAATTCCTCGCCAAATTCGTTTCTGGCGCGTGCCGAACGCCGATCTGGGGAATTTCGTCCGCGTCCCGTCGCGTGAGAAAGTAGCGAAATTCGATAGAAATTGTTAACCGATAATGTGCACGACTTCTACTTTTTCTGCCGTATAGAAATCGCCAAGGTTGCGTAAGTTATTACAAATTTGCATTCGTCGTTTATAAGATACGATAGAGAAAGTCGACTAATTGAGGAACCGGGTGAATAGAAATCTAGGGAAAGGTCTCGTGCATCCGAGAGAAGAGGATGATCGCGCGAACAAGTGTTTTCCTGGTTCGAACACTGTTTCGGGATATTATAGCTGTTAGGTAAGACGTATAGGCTTGCACAATTTATTGCCATCATCCTGCACGATCGATTAATTGTCTACACGTAGAAGGTATTCTTATTTTCACTTTCCAAGTAACAAATTTCATCTTTCACAATTTTTTTTTTTTTTTTTTATTCCAAAAGAAGATCGAAAGATCGAATAATCTTATTTCGACGAATGAAGAAAACTTCTCGAATCGTTTTTGATTTTCCAACTTTTCGGTTAGAAAGTGAAAATGCTCTTATCAGTTAATTGTTTCATACGATGATAAAAATCACGACACGAAATGCTCTTCCTTGGAATCCAAATGTTCTCGAAATGGCGTGCGTTTTCGAATAAAGGCAGCTCGACTTACATAAACGCTCGGTATCTCATTGTTTTCCACGAGCCGCTGTGTAGCGATAATTTTTTATTGCTCGGTGCGTGATTCGTCTCTCCATAGCCGAGCCACTCCGAGTGCAAAGGTAATTCACTGTCAATCGCGTGCACGTCGATAAAACGGGCCCTTATCGTCGCGGCGTTAAAGAGATTCGAGGTCTTCGGTCGTTGCGCAAGCGCGGTCATTTTTTTTTTTTTTTTTTTTTTTGAAATCACGCGCGCTCTCGAATCACGGATGGCCTCTCCTCGAATGGCCAATTTGGAATTACAGAAATTGCCGCTTCGCGGTTGACTTGCCCCTCGTGACTCGAGCTATTCTTCTTTGTCTTCAGAAAGTTATCAAATTTTTGTAAATAATATCGCGATTGTGAATTCGAAAATAAAGAAGAGAAATTCAAATATGGCGACGCAGTTGAGATCAAATAAATGAAACGATATGAAATCGACCACAGAACTGCGAATTTCCTTGGGATAAGCAACGCTGATAAATATACAGAGACAATGTACTCTGCGGTTTCGTTTAATTGCCTAAGCGGAGAATATCACCAGGCGGTTGCACGAGGATTCATATAGATATAAATACAGTTGTAAAAGAATTATTATTATCGATGCGACACGCGTAATTTATTTAATATTTGGGCCGAAGCGTTAGACAATTGGTTCACGATAGAGCCGAACATTCGAAACTTTTTTTTACGATCCTCTTTTCGATTATCGTTATAAATCCTTTATCAAATTTTTATTTTCCCGGCGAAGAATAATCCATTAGAACCCTCGTTTAATTTCACGTCAAACATTTTCAACGAAATTCTCCTCTGTCGAAACATTTCTGAACATTAATCTAAAAATCCTCGATATCATCAAATGTTCTTCTTACCCAACTTAAATTAAAAAAATCCTACACAATAACTATCGAACAATCGACAAATATCACCTAACAAAAAATCTCTAAAAACCCTAGACTAGTTACGTATATCAATTTAAAAAAAAAAAAAAACAAAAAAAAAGAGAAGCTTATCAATCACTATCCCCAGATATCATCGACTATCATTTCACTATCAAATCGGCCTCGACCGCTTACGTAACCGTCCACGATTGGGCCACCAGTCGAGGGTTAATCACCGTAACGAATGAATGTCTGCATTCGACTCACCGATAATAGTCCTTCTTGCAGTAAATGTTTCCGTCCCTGCTGAAACAGGTGACTTCGCCGTCGAGGCCCTGGCGGCAATGGGAGCACTGAAGGCAGGCCGCGTGCCACCGCCTGTCCACCGCCTGAAGGTAAAACCTGTCGGATATCCGGAGGCCGCATCCGGCGCAAACCACCCCCGGCACATCGTCGGACTGCGCGGGTGGGGTGGGCGGCGGCTCCAGTTTCGGGATAGCGTGCAAGTGTTCGGTGGTCTGCTGTTCCTGCGAGTGAGTCTGCGGATGCAGATGCGAGTGATGGTGGTGATGGTGGTGGTGGGTCGTTTGCGGGGGCATGCTCAGGTCGCTTGGGTTCTCAAAGTTGCTGCTGTTCCTGTACTCTTGCCCACCTGACGTATTTCCATTTCATTTGTATTAATTTTATATTAATTTTTCCGTTAATTTCGCGTATAAATTATCGAGAAAATATCTATCCATCGTATATTACGTTGAAATTGAATTGAACCGAATAAATAACGATCTGAAAAATCTTGCAAGATATTATTAATAATTAAATGTATTACGGTGGATATTCTAAAGAACAAGAAAAGAAGAAAATAGAAGGATAGAAAACACTAACCTCCGGGGGAATCGTAGTCTCTAGAGTCGTAGGGGGTAGTGGGTCCGTCGTAGCAATTATTGTTGGTTCCGCAGTGGGTCTGATGTAGGGGTGTATGATGGGGCCCGTGATGGTGGGCGGCAGGAGGACTGCACGGTAAGGTGGTAGGTCGTGCAGCGTCGCCCATAGACGCAGGGAGGCAGGGACTTAGGTCCCTCGCCTGGTCCACTGCTCCGGGCCCCCCCGCACTGCCGGGCCCCCCTTGACGCCCCACAGCCAAGCCGCTGCCACGCTCCTGCGAGCTGGCCGGCTGCTGAAACAAATCGCATCCGGAATATTAGAAAATTTCCACGATGAAAATTCAATAAAATGGCGGAAAGGAAAGAGAACAGGATCGAGTGAAATATTTTCTTCTCGAAATGAGATCTGGATTAAGTTGATCCATAATAACTTTGGATCGTTCTCTTCACTCGCATCTATTTCGTAATCTTTCGTATTACGTCGAAAAAACCAAAAAAGAAACCGCGATCGCGTTGAAAAGAAGCATGGTCGATTCGCTCGAGTGAAATTCTCACACCTCCAACGTAGACGACTGTTGACAAAAAAAAAACTATGTCAACAGTTTTAGACAAAGAAACTAGCGAGAAATCACCTAGCAAAGTGAGAGATAGAGAGAGAGAGAAAGACAGACACGAATATAGATGGAAGATAAAAAATTAAAAGAGAGAGAGAGAGAGAGAGAGAGAGAGAGAGAGAGAGAGAGAGAGAGAGAGACGCGCAAAGTGAAAGTAAGAAAGGAGGATAGCCCTGCGGATAAAAGATTCGTAGAGTAAACGAATCGATGGTGAATCGTGAAAGAAGAGTTCGAAAAACGCCGCGTCAACGCGCGCGCCATCGACGATCGGCTCCCCCGGAAAAAAAAAAAAGAAAAACGTATAAATTCCCAACGACAGACGCGATGGAGGGGGGGGAGAGGGAAAGAAGCAGCTCATCGATAAAAGTAACCGACCTAACGCATATCCGAAGATGGCGAAGACACTTTCCACCGAAGTGAACGAGGAGGGACCGTAAAGGACATCGGTCGGAAAGACAGTCGCGAACCGCGCACAGTGGAATAGGCCTCTCCTGTTTGCCGTCAGGCCGCGACAACCGGAATAGGCGAAATAGGACAACAACCTAACAGGCACGAAGAGCAAGACGGCTACCGGGGGAAACTGTGTATCCAAAGTGACAGCGGATTACGGCTCGGTTGACATCGGCAAAGGGTAAGGGGGCTAGAGAAAAGGAGAAAGATAAAGAGTGGCATGCTGACGGCAGTAGCCGGTCGCCTCTGATGGATGTCGTAAGCCGGTATGCGCATGCGCGCGACCCTATAAGGCGCCCGGAGCCGACCAATCCGAGCCGCCGCCGTGTTTCAACTGTCAACGCGGTTGCGGCGTACCGCGGTAAGCTCGAGACATAAATTACGTGGCCGAGCTGCCCTGGTCCTCCTCTCCTCCTTGCCCCTCTCTCTTTCCGCCTCCCTTTTTTTTCCTCTCCCTCTTTCTCCCCCTCTTTCTCTCCCTCTTTTTGATCCCTTTCGACAAACTCCTCGTCTGTCCTTCTCCAGCTTTCCGCCCCGAGAACCCTTTCTTCCCTCATTTCCTTCTCCTTCCCGAGAGAGAGGTCAGAGAGAGAGAGAGAGAGAGAGAGAGAGAGAGAGAGAGAGAGAGTCACTCTTCTTCAGGCTCACTCCTCCTTGTGGAAAACCGATGCCGCATTTTACGACACCAGATACCGGTATTTACTGCATCTCCGCCGAAGCGGCGCGTTTGCAGCGATCGCGGCCCGAAGGGAGGTTAACTTCTGCGCGTATAGAATAGTCGTAAAGATCACTGCTCTGCGAATAACGATGCCCTCTGGTGACGAATTTAAGCCTCGTCCATAGTTCTTACGGTGAATCGCTCGGTGAACGTCTAGGGAATTTTTGTTAACCTCCGCGAGATTCAGGCAATAATCCTGTTACATTCCTTAATCTAATTTCTTTTACCGCGTAAAATTAAGGATTTGTTACCTCGATTGAATTTTAACGATAATACCTCGACGAACATTTTTCTTTTCTAATAAATCTACGTGATTTAGCAACAAGCGTATAGCGAAGGAAACAAGTATTATCTCCGTGATCTTCTTATTAAATTCTAGTTACGACACAGATTCCGATTCTTCGGATCGGTTTCTGGCTTCTTTTCTATTTTTTTCTTTTTCTTTCTTTCTTTCTTTCTTTCTTTGTTCTCTTCCTTTTCTTTTTTATCGTCGATCGTTCGATCATCGAACGATAATGGTTCCAGGGAGCAGCGAGGAGAGATCGATCGGATAATGCGCGCATGCGCGGGGCTGCGCGTTCCTCAGCCAAGGGAAAACTAATAGAAATTGGCACGTTCGTTTGTTCCACGGCGGATTTTCACCGTGGAACGTAACGATTACGCGGCGGCCGTTGTTTCTTATGTAATAAACCGGGTCGCGGAAAGAATTCGTGGAACGCGAGTTTCCAAGTGTCTGACCAACTGCTTCTGGCGTGCAACTTATCGAGAATCGTGGCTCGTTTCCTTCGAAGATCATTGATCAACCTCCGATTGGAACTTTGATTGGGCGAATTTTTCTTGCGCGTAGTGGTGAACTCGATTCTTCGGCTGGTTTCGATGAACGAGTTGATGAATTCAGCTACAATTAGCCGAACATTAATGGAGGATGATGACGAATACGTAGCTCGTATTCTTCTCCATTATTTTTATAAGGAACGAAGATCATCGTTTACCAGAACGCGAATACGGATACGATACCCTCTATCTTAGAAGATAATCTTCCAGAAAAATAATTCAAAGTTTAATTACATTGAGAATGAAGTCGAGAGACAAGTTGTAGAACCGAGGTGTCGCATCGAGCACTTACAACCATAAATTTCCCCAAGAATCGAGTTAACGCTGCGTACATGTTACCAAGTATTATTTATGTACCAGTCAATCAATGTTGAAGCGTTCTCGTGGAGTTTGCATCGTAGGCAGTGGATCGTATCATCGAGATTATCCTTCGACCTTTCTGTTAGTCAAACAACGTGTTCACCGTTAACACAAGTGCGCATCGATGCAAGAAGTCAACCACCGTTTTCATACGCTGTTCCCCTCTTAATGTCATTATTAACCTCGGCTCGAACAATGCAAACGTTTTTTCTTTCTTTTTTTCTTTTTTTTTCACCGCATTTCTTAACACTCCATTGTGCCGAGCTCGCGCTCGAAAGCAAAGATGTTCGTTGCACGAAGGCATAGGTCGCCGTTTTTCTTCTTCGAACCGCCTCGACGCTGTGTTTCCCAACCGACTCGTGTCATCGTGTAGGGGCGGGAGAAGCGCGGATGCAAATAAAGATATTTCCACGGAGAAACTCGGGCTGGAAACTCGTTTTTCCAAACCGAGCCGACACCGCGGTTTCTTGCTCCTCCAAACTTCTCCTTTGGAATCCGGATCCCCGGTTGGGATAACAACGAATGGACGAACGAGGATCTTTGGACAATAAGAGAGAACTAGTTGTTGTCGAGGAAGTATGGTATGGTTGCATATGGGGAGAACGAGAGGTGAACAGGAAGAACAATGTTCTCGTTCTTAGACGGAATCGCATACGAAAGATTTATGGATCATACATGTTAACGATTGTGCGAAAGAAGACGGTTAACCGGAGAACCGGTAAATAGAGAAATAAAAGAAAGAAATGTGTAACGCGTTATTAACATTAATGACCATGATTCGTGAGAGTTAACTCGTGGAGAATTAATTAATTAAGTTGGTCGACCGATTTAAATCCTTTGCCAATCCACTAATCCAGATTATTGGTTCTCGGAGGAGGAATGATCCATCGATGTCAACAAAATATCCTTCCTTTCTGTAAATATTCCATATTTAATTAAATTCCGTATTTAATTATATTTACATTTTCTTTTTTTCTTTTTTATTACATTTCTAAAACTCGTTGGTATTTATAGGCATTATTAACGGAACGAATTCTTTTTCTAGTTTATATTAAAGTTCTTCTATCCGAATGATACGGAATTTAATATATTCGAATCTAATTAATTAACATTTAAATGCCACGATGAATACAACGATATGCAAATATTTTTTTTTATAGATGCACATTGCGAAATTTTATTATTCAAACGTATAATTCTTTTTCTTTTTCTTTTTTTTTCTTTTTTTTTTTTTTTTTTTTTTTTCTTTTTGAAGCGTGTATAAACTATTACGAAATTCTTTTTCCACGATCCCCGTGAATATTCCATATTCATTCGAGTTCAATTGAAACGTTAATATTCAACATCCTTGGAAAGCCTTGCGTATCTTGTAAATAATCTAAAGAAACCAAAAAAAAAAAAAAGAAAAAGAAAAAAAAAGAAAAAAAAAGAAAGAAAATAACAAAACTCGAATATCTCTTCGTCGAATATATCTCGAAACAAACCACGAAGCCAAAAAGGTGAGAAGATCTCATTGCACACTTCTCTCCGTTTCCGTATTTTCGCCATATAGAAAGAACCCGTCACACGGTGGTTCGATCGAGAGAGTCGGGTTGAAAGATTTCCTCGAACCGATGGAACTCCCCGATGGCGAAGCCGGACGAGTTCCATTTGTAGAATTTTCCACCTTAGATTTCGTAAGAGCGTACGTAGGACGAAGGAGAACAGGAGAGATCGATACGGGCATCCTATAAATTTCCCACGAAACGGCACGACCGGTCGATCGATCTTCACTGGGCCCGCGGGGAGATCCTTATCCATCTCTTAGAGTGGACCTGCCACGGGAGGCCGGTGCCACTGTGTACAGACAGACTTTCACCCGTGGCTTCGACTTGCACAAGGCTCCGCCTTTTTCATTTTCACGAAACGTGAGGTAAATAACGAGCGCGGAATCCGTCGGGATGCCGGCACGGAAAGCCGGTAGAATGCCTGCGCGAGAAATGCCGGCTCGACGATACGCAGCGTCGAATCGTGCGACAGAACGAGAAACAGCTATATATCGGCCATTATTGATTATTCTTTCATTTTCTTTCTTTTCGCTCTTTGCGTCCCCATTTATCGTTTCTCTTCCGCTTCTTTCTTCTCTCTCTCTCTCTCTCTCTCTCTCTCTCTCTCTCTCTCTCTCTCTCTCTCTGTCTTTTTTGATTTCATTCATTTTTTTTTCCAGGACGAGAGAGGAGGCGGCGATCTAGCTCGGCTCGGGAGATAAGAGCGTGATTTATAAAGTTCGCGGCGCGACTTTCGGATTGATAAGTGATATCGATGATTCATCTGCTCT